AATCCAGAAACTTCTCTCTGAACAGAGCCGTCTCGTTGTGCTCAGAGAGGACGCCGAACAACGCCCAGCTGGGGCGGCCCTCTCCCCTCCTGAGGACAGAAGCCAAAATGAGAGGGGAAATGTCCTCAAACAATTAACACACTCCTTTGAGGGTTTTTTCCCCCCCCCCTTTATAAAATCAAAAACCACTGTTTAGACTCCAGCTTTACTGGAGACCCAAGGAGTGTAAGGACATGCTGTAAAAATACACTTTAGAAGCTGAAGCCTTAATCAGAGGCAATGACATTGATTATATACATTTTCCCCCAGACTGAAGCCAACCCTTAATGCCTTAAACTATGCAAATTTAAAAGATGATCACCATAAACTGCACAGTAAATAACATTGTTGTGACTGAATAGATTCCAAATTCTGGTTGAAAACTTTGCCACCATAACAGTCTCTTCTCTTCATGCAGACTAATCCCCATGGTTTTAGACTGTAGGAATTGAGTAGCCTTTAATGTTGGCTTTCAGTGACATTTTCTGGTTGCAGTGTGTTGCCGAGTTACTCCTGTGGTTTTTATCCACTTGTTCAAATGTTTAACAACTGTCATTCAGCAGCTGCAGCATGCCGTGTGGACACAGTGCTGTATGCTGGGGTTTTTCCATGCACAGTGTGGAACTGCAATCCTTTTGCTTCAGTTTTACAGTTTGCACAAAGGATATACAGGAGACTTGTGTGCATGTACACACACACTACACTTAATGGTGCATGCATGATTTTGCTGTGTATACTGTAGAATTACATCCAATGCTTTGTTTTTAGTGTGTGCACAGCAATGATAATACACGTGGTGAATACTTAGAGCTGTTCTATGTGGTCTCTGGTATCATTTTTCATTGTGAAGTACAGACTAAAAGCTTTACTCATTTCATTGCCTGCAGCGTACACTTACAGTGGTATGTCTGGGTTACACTGTGTGGGATCCAGTGGGTTGACTTGACAGTTGCTGTAGTCGTAAGCTCCAACCCACACCTGGTGAGTCAGCTGGAGAGCAACATTTCTCCTGCTAAAGGAAACATCCTGCCCATGCCACAGGTACACCTCACTGCCAAAATCAAACACCAGGACCTGGACACACAAGAAAACAGGTCTACAATGCAACACAACCATATATTTGAGAAACAGCATGAAATCTAAAAGAAAAATATCACAAAGTCAACAACCAAAGTGATTGAGCAACAAGAGACTACTGAAGAGGCTTCAGACCTCAGTGGGGTCAAGCAGAGAGACAGTGGGGATGGAGGCCCATGCTAGTTCATGGGGCACAAGTCTATTCTCCACCAGCCTGTACACACAGTTTGACTCCACCACACCGCGCTCATAGAGCTCATCCTCATCTGGTGGAGCAGCTCCTGTTGGGAGGAATGGACAGAATGCCTCAAGTACAGACCCAGACAAATTTTCAGTGGTTACTCTGCATTGACATGGCCAAGTTGCACCCACTGCAAAGCATAATGGGTGAAAACGGCTAAAAACTGACAAAACTGTAAATACACAAATGGATATACACTCTGCTTCTGGTCATACAAGTTTTTTTATCAAATAATAAAACTGTCATTAAAAAATATATTCTACTTTTTGGGAGAGATTTATGTGCAACCTCTGTATTGTGTCCTTCCCCCAAGAAGTTTCCAGAAGTCCGCAGCCAGGTTACCGTCAGAGCTCAACCCTTCCTCCAGGTGAACAACTTCAGAGGCCTGACAGCCGAGATCCCTCTGGCTCTGGATGAACGATGCCAGCTCAGAGGCCTGAAAAATAAACCTCTTTTAATCACATTCTAATTGGGTATTCAGACTGATCTGATTAAAACAGCTTCCTGCTGTATTTTAATGCAAGGGGCTACATTGGTCAGGGGGGTGAGGGGTTAAAGGGGAAGTGTTATAGGCATGTACAACTTTGCCATGTTGTGATGAGTCGACACGAGTGGCTTCATTGACGTTTACATTGTGTTTTAGTTAGCCATGTTGCTAATGTAGCCAATTCTGCCACCAGTGTGCCAGCACTGACAGATTTAAAAAAAACAAAAGCCATTTAATATCCACTACTAACAAAATGCATGGTGTGTCATTATGGTGCATGAACTATGGTCCAAATTTGACAGTGAACAGTAGTTTATGCTCATGCTAACAAGGCAAACAAGAGTCTTTGTCCCTTGGACATCCACGTCCAATGTACATGACTGGTCAATGCAGCACCTTTGCCAGATGAGGTCACCGTCCGGTGAATGTTGAACCAGCTTTTTTGCTGCATAATTTTACCGGAGCCGTGTGGTGTTGAAGCTGGCTGCAGTGAACACAATCCTCATCCTCATACAAATGAATGGGGAGGGGCTGTTTTTTTTTTTTGGGAATGCAGCCTAAGACAGACGTATGGTAAAGGGGAAATGACTGAATTCCTGAAGCAGTGTTGCTAAAAATGCATTCTGATCGCACCTGAGGAGAAAGGGTTTGTGACCCAAGCCCATGTTTATCATATAGTAGCTCATTTTGAGAGCAGCTGTTACCAAATACATTTGCTTCATAGTATTTATATAATTTTGATCAAGAAAACTGACTAGAGATATCAAGACAATGTAGTGTCATGATTAAAAGTAAGAACATGATGCAATGTTACTGTTCTTGTCAGTACCTTGGCTTTCTCTTGCTCATTGGCAAACTCTCCACTCCACAGGATGCAATGCTCCTGAGTCACCAGCAGGAAGCAGTCTCCACTGTTCAGCGACCTTGCAGAGGGCTCCACCAGACGCACTTGGACATGCCGCCTACCTGTCACCACAGGCAGTAGTTACTCTAAACACAAAAAGATCCTCAAGCTGGCACACATGTACAGTACATGCACAAGCCAAGTCTTTCCTGACCTTTGATGTGAATGAGCATCAGGCTGCTTAAGGGAGGACAAGACATAGATACAGGATCTGAGGAGGAGATGAAGTCTTCTGATCTGGCAGGATGTGATTGTGCCACCGAGGAGTTTTTAGACTCTGTAAAGAGGAATGAACACAAAATAAGAGATAGAACAAAAAAAGAAGGGAAATAAAAAGAGAGAGAGACACTCACTGTTCACTGCCTGGATCCTCTCCTCAGCAGCTGTGTTGACTCTCTCTGCCATGTAGTCCTGCCTGACGTCTTCTCTGGCTGCGAGAGCCCTCAGAGGGTTTCTGGAGCCCTGAGTCCGACGGGATGGGCGCACCGACCGCCTGTGCTGTGCTACTGCTGAGGTCAGTCTGTACCACGCATGTGACAGTACAGAGTTACTAGTTTCTCACCTCAATGAGGATGCACTTGTTATTGTGATTCATTGCTAACAATATACAGTAGTCAGGTAAAAAAGGGCTATTGTGAAGATGATCAGAGCAAACCTTTGGTTTATAGTGCAACAGAGGGGGCAATTAGGCCACACGGGTTTTACTGGGCAGCCTGTTGTTGAAGGGTTAGCTATACTAGCCATGCTCTAATCTACAGAATAAGAGAAATGTTTGAATAACAAAATATCTGAAACAGTTTTTTAGCGAATTTATATACCCAAGGAAAAAAAAAATTGAGACTAGTTCTCATTCTCATGATGACTTCCTAACCCATTCACAGTAGGAGTCACCAGCAGATGGCAGCATTACAGCACAGACACACTTTGTAACAAAGATGATATTTTATAATAGGAGTCTGTAGCACATCAGTCATACAAAGTGAAATAACCTTTCAAATTTACCAATTCAGTTTCATAAATGATTATTAATAATGAATGGAGAACTTCAGGAAGTTACCCTTAATAATAAAACATTTAAGTCCATGGTAAAAATCAGACTCACATGGGCGTGTTGGTCTGGCACAGTACATCCAGGTCCTGCTCACTCTCTGTGGCAACATCATCTCCAGAAGGTGGGAGGGCACATGCGGCAGGAGGTGACCGATCGTTGTAGAAACCTTCATCAAATGCGTTTGATTCATCAACAGCCATCTCCTCCTTCACCTCTGGTGGAGGCTCTGAGTGTGGAGAGTTCCGTGGAGCTGCCAGGAATAAATGTAAACTTTTAAAAATGCTTGACACTTCAACAACGTCTATCAGTGATCCTTTACATTAAGGACTCTGGGCTGTTCATGTTTCAATATTACCTTCAAACTGTAGCACAGGCTGCATGGAGATTTCTGTTAAGCAAATAAACAGTTCAGAGAGAAACAAACAAGCATATAGTCTTAGTTTTTTTTTTTTATATTTAGACCAATTCTGTTCTACCTTCATATGGGCATGTTGGAACTTCAGCAGAGTGTCTCTTGTTCTGAGAGGTGTCATGTCTGTCTGATTCTGGGGATCTAAGACCTAACAGGTGGGAAACATAGTGGGCAAGGGTCAGAGAGGCCAACACAAACCCAGGAGGACAAGACTAGAAGTCAGAGCATGTAAACTCACTTCTCTTGGCCATACGTCCGACTCCCTGCTCCTTTCTTTCCTGCTGTGCATTCATTTCCTCTGCTTTGTCCTTCTGAAGTGGTTCATCTTCAGCTCCTTTATCCTATACATCCAATACACCTGTTAACATGAGCTCTTGCTCAAAAATATCAAAAGATTCAAAGTTAAAATGCAGGCCTGCATCACCTTCAGTCTCCACTGAGGCCGAGTCTGATTCTTTGTGGGGGAGGAGACTTCTTGCGCCTCAAAAGCCAGATTGGTCTGCAGGTGAAGTAAAAACAGAATATATGGATAATACAGTTACAGGTGGATTTTTCAGTATAGGACAGGTGACTGTTCATATTATTAGATCAATGTGTTTGCCGTTACTTTGTACACAATCTCAAGAACACAAAAAAAAAGCAAGCATCTTAACACTTGACAATCTTCTGGCTGGAAGTGTTACAGAAATGTTGGTCAGTATACGTTATAAACAGAATTGCAGGGAAACCTCACACCCCTTAGTGATCTTGCTCAAGTTCACTGTTAATATAGCAGGAGACAACTTGTATGTAAAACATGCACTTTGGGTTACAAATAATACTAAAGCTGAACTTGGCTCTTTTTATGCTGTAGCAGGTTGTTAAAAATCAAACTTGAACTGTGGGTTTTTTTTTAAATGTCCAAAGGGAATGACAGAAAACCCACAGGTGTAGAGCACTAAAAAAAAAGAAACATGGAAACCAGGATGAGAGCTACAATGCATCCCTTCAAAACAAGCATCGTTATCAAACAGGAAACAAACAAACACTCTATAGAGCCGACTCAGCACGAGTCCACCTGAGCCTGTGCGATGACAAAACACTTTCACTGCAAACCAAAAATGAACAATTTTATCTGCCATGCACTGGGGCTCACACTATTACCTGATTGAAACACATGATATATTGGGGTGTACTGCTAGAATAAACAGAGGCAAAGACGGGTTCCTGGGAGAGAAAAGGAATGGGAGGAGAGTGGGGCTGAGGCTCGTTTAAAATTAGAACAAAAATCTTATTCTTCATGAAGGAGATGTAGATGGATGTATGCATTTCAAAGCATTATTTAAAGACTTACCCAGCACTGAGGGCTGACACTCTCAGCATGACAGTTTCCCATCTCTTCCTACAGAGGACAGTGAGGGGGGAAAACAGGAGGTCAGATCATAAAACACCTAAAATAAAAGGTTACTACATTTATAAAACTAAAAACAAATTAACAGAACAGGAAAAGATGAAAATCAGTACACTCATACATGTACACACACATACCGTTTGCACTTGTGCAGGTGAGACCATAAGGTCATAAAAGGGTCAATGTTTAAGTACCAGCATAATCTGTCTGTTTGCATTCCACAGCACACCGAGTCAGCCAAAACCAACTCGGTGCATAAACACTAGACAGCCTGAATATATTCCCCAGCGTGATCAAGACATTTAGCACATAACAAATCCAGAGCGCTGTTGCTAAGAGATACTATATCTGGTTTCACTGGAATGACAAACACCCTAATCTAACCAACAGCCCTTTCTCATTCTGGATTTAACAGCTGGGACGAAAAGTGAACCCAGTAACCTGAAGATGCAACTTTTGAATTTTATGCTGCTGTTCAGTGAACTTTAAGACCGACAGTGATGTGATCTCATGTTACTGATACAAAGAGGGCGATTAAGCCACTGTAGCAGCAAGAGTCATTTCCAGTTGGCCGAGTTTACTTTAGGGTGGCACAGAAAGTGTCATTTTTTCCCCCCTGTACGTTGCTGCATCCTAGGTTGAAGAGTCACCATTTTAAATTACTCATTCAATCTTTAGGCAAACAGAGACTATACAGCAAAATGTGACCAACTTTATGACATGACAACAGTCTGTATTTGATATATGTACAGTCATCGAGGCTAGAAGACTTCTGCTTGTGGCTACCATTGGGATATATTGTGTGAAATAAGCCTCAAACTGTCCCTTCTCCTTTTATTTTTACAACCAGCATTTCTGCCGTTTGTTCTGAGTGGTCTCATAACGTCAACTGTCCCGTATTGTTCTTACATAAACATTCCTAACAAAGTAGGTAGACTAAAAACCCAAAAGAAGAAAAACTGAAAGCAGTAAAACAAACTACGTGAATGTTGAGCACATGCAAAAACCTCATCTTGATTTTAACTTCTTCACAACTGAAGAAAGATAATGTAACTCCTGCACAACATAAAATGTTCAGTAGGCTGACATCTTAGCTTTAGACATGATTGGTTCTCCAAAAGAAACATAAGGTTTTAGTCCATTTGCCACAGCTAACTGCCCCCTCTGTTGCACTATAAACCAAAGGTTTGAAACACTTCCATGTTAACAGCATGGGAGTGTTCAGGTCATTAAAATAGTTATGGATTATAATCATGTGAGGATTAAAACACTATACACCAAAAATATCACAACATCCATTAAATTTAGATGAATTTACATTTAACAGCGGCTGATGTGAGGCACCTGTATTTTACTTTCTTTTTAACACTTCCACATAATTAAGTCAGATACAGACCATATATTTGAGCTTTCAGAAGGTTTTGCGGTCATAATTACAACCTGGAAGTTGACATGAAACTCATAATTAAGACAACTATGACGTTGCCAGAGGTTGCCTCTGCCAAGGCCGACTTTGAGACTACACGACCTGTTAAAGACGATGCTCCTTCCTGTAACGATTCTACTGTAAACCCACTCAACTATCCTTCTGTGCTGACAGTCTGAAAAGCACTGGCTTCCCTTTACAGACTGCAGAGTTTGCCTTCCCTTTACAGAGTTTCTGATTCTGCAGCTGCTACTGGGTCAATTGAGATTTTCATTTCACATAGCAATTTTAAAAACTTTCTATGTGACAAGCCTTTATTTTCTTACCTTACTAGCGCTGGTGTCAGATGTGTCCTGTAGGTCGGTGCTGACCTGAACTTGTCCTGTGGCTGATGTTTCTTGAGTCATTGTCTTTGCCCTCTCCTGCTCACCCTGTTGCCTTTTGGACAGATCAGAGAATTCAATGTAGTTTTCATAATAAAAACTGTTAATGGGTAAAATCTATATTATAGTCACATGTAAATTTGATCATTTTTGTATTCAGGGCTCCCCTACAATTATTAAAGCATATTCACACAAGAACCAAATCAAGGACATCCTATATAGATGTAGCACCAGCTAGCTAGTTTTTATCAGTTACTTACTGGACCCTGCCAGTGCTGTCCCAGACTACCAGCTCCTGTGGCTCGCTCTGACAGGGCTTCTCCTCCTGATGAGCGTCAGGCTCTGACACGGCTCTTACTGGCGTACAGGCGATGGTTCCCCGCCTGTTTCGATCTCTCTGCCTCCAGGGAGCAGCACGCAGCGAACCTCCCTCCACACCTGAAGCCTCATGTCTCTCTCTCCATGGAGCTGAAGAAATTTCCTGCCTCTCTGTTTCCTCCATCCTCCCATGCGTAGCTACATCTCTGCTGTTCAGTTCATCCATCTGACTGCCTTCCATCCCGCTCCACTCTGAGCATCCAGAACGGCTTTTCTTCAGAATTCCCGTCAAACTTGACTCAGATTTGTGGCACTGTAGACCCTGCTGGGTGATACTGTACTGTCCAGGCCCGCTGTGTGGTCTCGGCTGGGATGGACGCACCTCACTGGGTGTAAGATTGACAGCCAAGGCAGGAAGCTGTATGGGACCTTTTTGGAGCTGAACAGAGTGAAATTTAGATAAGCAGTTAAAATATACTTTGGGCACAGAAAAGCACAATTTAGAAACATGTCAACTAATTATAAATTAAGTATTAACTTTATGCACAAGGTCATAATTGACTAATTTACTTGCTAGTCAGCCAACACCAAGTTCAGACTGGAAGCTGAATTTTGTACACTTTGATGCAACCAGGCATCACTGGGCTTATTCTGTCTTAAGTTTTGATATTTTTTTCCAGAGGAGAAAATAACCACCTAGTTTTTGAATATGTGGTAAATCTATCCAAGTAATGCCAATTACAAATTTGTCTGCAGTGTTCATACGTCACCATTCGGTATCGCCTAAGCTCTCTTAGAACCTCAATGGAGGTAATGCCAAAAATAGTACCAGGTACCATCCCCAGTACTTGACTAATGGGAAACACAGATAAGGCGAGTAGAGTCAAGTTGAGCTGAGCCATTAGACCCTCTAGTGGCTGAAAAGAAATTAGGAGGGCCGGCTATAAAAGCACTTTCTTCCATGTTCTTTTACTGTGTGAAACGAGCACCGTAAATATACATTTGATTGAAAGACTTGATTGTTCCGTTTGGTTCTTCTTACTCACCAGGCCAACCTCTTCCACAGTGATGGGCTGTGTGCGGTACCGAGCCCCCTTCTGCCGTCGCCGCTCTGGGGGCCCATCAGCATGGCCTCCACCCTGCCTCTGCGGAACAGAGAGACTGTTGAAGAGGGCCAGCTTCTCACTCATGCTGAGCTTGCAGCTCTCGTCAGCATCTTCCACTGGCTCAGCCTGCACAGACTGGGGCTCCACTGGTGGCACTGGTTTGAGGGTGCTGAAGGCGAGAACAAACACATGATATAAAACAGGCTTATAACTCCGGATAAAGCTGGTGATACTACAATTTAATGCTCAACAATAAATCCTACAAAACGAGCATAGCCAACCAATGAACTGATCCTAGTAACAAGCATTGGGAATTAATTAAAACCTTATAGGTTTTACTCCTCTGTGCCATAAAGCTCCATTGTTTTGTTTTTAATTGTTTTGGATGTCACTGAATCACACTGTTAAAACTGCAAGTCATGCTGCTTCATTACAGTGAACACAGTGAAGTCTATTTTGCACAACTCAAGCATGAAAAGTGTATTAACTGCCAGTGAAGACAGAAAAATGTGATAAAAGCTAAGCTTGGGGAGTAAACTAATAATACGCTACTATACGTATGTGTAGTCCTAACAGTGAAGTGAATACCAAACAGTGGGAGGCCTCAACATTGTCCACACAGCCCACCTGACTGAAACCATTTCCTCACTGGTGACTGGCTGAGTCAGAAAGCGAGGGTCGTTGCTACGTCGCAACCTGCGTTCATGACGAATGCTGCCTGAACGAGGCATCAGGAAGGACGAGGCCCCAGGGGCTGCAGACTTCTCTAGTTCCTACAGGTGAGGGGGAGAAAGTAGTTACCGTCATCATCAACGCATCTATTCAACCAATAGCACCCGTCTGCTAAATAAAACAAACCACAAAAATAACAGTGGAAACCCCCTCCCCTGATGTCTCCTGTTCTACTTGTTGAGACAGAAGTGGGTCAGATAGCCTGTGAATAAAGCAGCTAGCTATAAATTCAAGCATGTTGGCTACATGGATAAAATACCAGCCCAAGAGGTCGCAGCGTAACCAGAGCTCTGCTGGTGTCAGTTACCTCTCCACCTGCCTCCACAGGGCAGCAGACTAATAATAACAGCTGCTGTGGTGGTTACTGGCAGTACAGTGGTGGGCATAATTTCACTCAACGCTTCATGACTACAACTGTGCCCAAGCTAAAATGTTGGAATAGAACTGTTAACTGTGTTGCCTCCACCATATAGAAACCAAAGCTCAGGGACACTAAAGGCTCCAGGCCTGTTTTGGATATTTATTCATCCAATTACCTTTTTTTTTGTTTGTTTGTTTTTTTTTAAATTACGTACAGATGGTCACACTGTAGCATCAAACTAAACTGTGCAGCCAAGAGCAGCACCTGTTTGATCATTCAGCATGACCAGGTTGTGTTCTGCGCACTCAGCACCAGCTCACCACGCATCTCCGACTGCAAGTGAGCAGCCGACGTGCCCATCAACGACAGATGAAGTTCACTTTCATTACATTTCTCATTAGGGTATTAACCCAGAATGAGATATCACCACATCAGACATCTGGAACCATTAATCAACCATCTCTGACAGTAAATAAATGCACATCTCCATAACATTACATGGAAAAGCAAGGAATAGACATGATCTCCACACTGACTAATATCTGCCAGCAGGTGCTAGGATTGTACACAACATTTATAATATAATAAAAAAAACACACAGGTTATGAACAGTAACAGTCTTGTTTGAGCACCGAGACCAACACAGACTTACCTTAAACAAAGACATCTTGGCTGCCACACTCATTTTAGCTCGGTCATCCATTTTCACATCAGCTGTGAGGAGAAAAAAATATATATTTTATATATAATAAAAATTAGATCATTAAGCTCTGAAAATAAGCGAACATTTAGTGGTTATGCCTCAGGCATTATCTGACAGTCAGCAGCAGTGATAAAACTAAACAGCAATTCCCAGAGAAGTGCAGCTTCAGGTGACAATTCCCAATATTAAAAAGTACTGCAAGTAGATTTACTCAAACTAGACTTCAGTACAGTTAGGAGGTAATTGTACTTTAAATGCAAGACACGTATGTGTAATAAGAGTACTTCTGCATTATTGTGCTGGTACTTTCCATTCAAGAAAATTATCACTTCTACTATACATTCATTTTTAAATGTAGATTTCATGTCTCCAGTCAATCTACATTTTGCACCAGGGGCTAAATTTGATAAGCTTCCCACTTGGTTACACAAAACCACATCATCTCTGAAAGGGATTTTTTTTTTTTGGTACTGTTCTTACATAGTGATCATTGTGGGCTCTTGAGGCTAATCATGCCTTGCTATGAAAGCAGGGCTGCAGACTAAGAAAGTAAAATCAGGCGTCACTAGTCTCCTTTTACTGGCGCACGTGCCCCAGTATTGATCTGCTCTGCCCCTGCAAAAGCACATGTTCAAGTTTTAATGAGCTCCTACATTTGGAAGTGGATTAATAATAATGGGAAAAGATTTGATTTATTGTTCTAAGCAGCGGTGGTTAGGGTTTGTAAACCACTGTGTGCACATACGCACCCTGTAGCACTGCAGCAATCCATGCAAAACAAAAAAAAGGAACGGACTGAGGCATGTGATGGGGACTAAATTGGGTTTTTGAATAATACCAATAATCTTATTTTGACTCAGCCACTACTGACTCTCCTGTAGACAGACATAAAAAAATTCTTTAGAGGAGGTCAAGACAGAGAACAGGTTTGGAGATATGAGGGTGAGAGGTAAGACCTGGCTGTAGCTGGTAAACAAGGTCACGTTAGTTTAGTTGGCTAGTACGTAAACGGGTGCAAAATGTTGAATGTGAAGTAATTTAGAGCTCTGTACATCAACGCTATATATCAGTGTAAGAATGAATAATACATGACATGTTGTCATCATGTTGGGAATGTTCTTAATGCATGTTAAAAGCTTAATATCTCCACATTTTACCTTTACCTGTAGTAGTTGTAGTAGCATTAGTAGGACAGTGGAATACTGGGCTAAGCAAGGATTAGTATGACAGTGGAATACTGGGCTAAGCAAGGAAAGCTCATGTAGCACATTTCATTTATGCAGTAAACATTCAAGGGGGAAAAAAAGAAAGAAAAGTGTGATTTGACTAACAGTAGAGCTTGATATCTAGAAACGCCCCTGGCTAAGAGCCATCTTGCACCTGGCACACAGAAACACACACTGATCCCTTTGATCCGGAGGTGCTAAACTACCAGCTAGGGATAAGGAAAAACAACTCAGCTTACTGGATAAAATGCAGGAAGCATGGACAGTTTTTACAGGACATTTAACTAGATGTTTCATGACACATCTTAAAACGATCATCCTTTGTTGCATTTGGTGAGTTAACGTCAAGTGGCAGAAGATACATGGTATAAATTCTCTCTGTCAGTCTTAGTAAAGATTTTCTTGTAAACTTTTTATGGTGGGATTGCAAGCAGGACTGGCATAGCATTGCTCTGCTGCTCACTGAGTTTTATGACATGTAAATCTGTCATCACTGAGAATAAACAGTATAACCTGATGAAATTCATGAGCCATTTCATGAGTTTATGCAACTGTGCTAGTGAGAAATGGCATGCAACTGGTTACAGGGTGCGTGTACTAGCACAACAGATCGTCTCTTAACACAAGAAAATTTATGATCACCACCAGTAAGAAGATAGCTTTACCTTTACAGTTCTCCTCTTCCTCTGCACCCAAAAGCCTAGAAAAGAGAAAAAGATAGTCACCAGGAGAAATATGAACAGGGAACGATATAGCTCTAATCTTCAACTCCTGCTTCAGGCTCAGTACATGTCTTTGTGCTTCAGCATGCAGTTCCAGCAATCAAGATACTGCATCATATTTGCATGTTCAGTAAGTCAACACTGCAGATGCCATGAGGAAAGAACACATGCAAACCACAGGTAAAAGGTGCGGCACCTGCCACACCTCAAAGTTCAAGTGTATTTTTATTAAAGGACCAAATATCAAGCACCCCAACAGTAATTTGCAAGTCATGTGTAAAAAAGCAAAAATCAAGAATAGCGTTTTTTACAACATGATCATTATGCGGCATCAGTCCTCAGCAATTTTGCTGATTGTCCTCAATCATTAAGTCAGTGGATTTTAAAGACACTCATGCAGTCTTTTAAAAATGTCAACAGAACCCTGCAAACAGAAACAACTTTGAGGAAATGAGGAAAAAAACAACAACAAAAAAAAAAAAAAAAAAAAAAAAAAAAAAAAAAAAAACCTAACAACCTTATTTCACGAGCCCCCCC